AGTCCAATTTTAACAAAGATGTTTACTTAGCTAATGTTGAGGTTGAAACAATTTTTACTTTTATATAACATTGAGTGACATTGTGAAATTTAATACAGTTATATTAAAGTTGGTGGCTTCACGCTTTGGATTTATAGTTGGATAGTTGCGAGTTCGAGGCTTGCTCTCTAGATGTTTTGTCCTCGAGCAAGAACCTTTACCTCAATTGTTTTGGTCTACCCAACTTTACGATGGGTAAGTAGTTAAAAAGTTCACCTGCGACGGACTGGCGTTCCGTCCAGGAGGAATATGTCGTTAATCTCAAAGCAATAAAGCACCGGATCCTAAGAGCTGTCTCATCAGAGGAAAGACGTGATCTCTGATACTGATGTGATATCCAGAATGGACGACTAAGAATTCCAATTTTCTATTCAAATGAATTATTTATCATCAGGTTGATGGAGGTAACATCTAGATTAACTTCTGCTCTTATTGTGTTTGTATTAATAAAACGAGTTAAAAAGAATTTTCCCAGGAAATTAAAACTTGTGTTCAATTAAAACACCATTTTATTAGAATATATATGACACTTTTGTTATTTCTATACATCCTGAACATATTAATAAGTCACTTAAATATTTGATAAATAAACATAGACATAATAGATTCGCAGCTAAATGTATATAAAAAAAGAAAAAAAAGGCCCAACTTTATTTTTCTTCATTCTTCAAGTTAATAATGCACTAAAGCGGTAATTGTACACTTACTTTTAATGAACTTTGTTTGCACATTCAGGGATTGCTCTGATAACATAAGTTATCTTATGTGTATCTTATTCAACAAGTTATTGAAACTTTACGATGGTGTGGACCTATATTGTGAAGAACTGGAAGATGTTGCCCGCATTTCACAACAAAGCAACCACCGATTGGATTTTTATTTGTAACTTTTTAATTAATGTACCAAAGGAAACTGTTATACTGGTCTTTCAATTTGTAGGATATCGTAATTTGAAAGTGAAAGAAAATAGTGTAAATGCTTGGAAATGTTTACTCTTAGTTTGAAACTCTGGGTGTTTTCAACAGTACGTTCAGACTTTTTTTTTAATTTAAAATTTGTTTGTTTTAGAGCAAAGTCACATTAGGCTATCTGCTGTGTTCACTGCGGGGAATTGAACCCCAGATTTTACTGTTACATGTCTGTAAACTTACCGCTGTCCCGCCAGGGGACTTTTTAATTTAAGGGCATAATTCCAAATTTGGAACGATCCGAGTAATGTGTTTTCCCTATTAGTCAGCATGATACACAGATTCAGCTACTAGGTATTTCTCTATACGAATCAATTACCATTCCATGATAAAAACTGCTTCCACGTTGTATATTACCAAATAAACATGAAGAGTCTGTGACCAAACTCTGGGCGAAAATGACTTTGAATCCACAAGGAAAACCATCTTAATAATCTTAGGAAGAACGGTATAACTGAACAAACTTATGCAACAATGTTGCTTCTCATATTACAAGTAGGTTTTTTTTTTTTAATTGACATAAATGCGACTTATTTCTGGTTCCAAAACTTTAATATAAAAAAAATATCCAAAAGTCTAAAATTTTCATTTAAGTCATGAAAATTGTCAGAATTTTAATTGTTTGTAGTTAAGCACACAGTTACACAAAGGGCTATCTGTGCTCTGCCCACCACAGGCATCGAAACTCGGTTTTTAGCGTTGTAAATCCGCAGACATACCGCTATGCCACTGGGGGGGCATTATTTTTATAAAAATCGTAAACTTTTTTTGGGGGGGGGTGCAGGATGTAGGTATAAAGTCTTATTTAAATGTTTAATGGATTACTCAACCGCAACTTGATTAATATTTGTTTGGTATTTGGTAAACTACTGTGTATAGATTAAAAGTACAGTTATTTGCAAGACCAAATTACACCAAGTCAATTGAGTTTGTGTAATTAACTTAATTATGATATTACCGTTTTTATTTCTTTGAGCAAAGTAGCATTTAAAGTGGAAGCCGTAAGGCTTCATTAAAGTTCTAAATTGTGTAAATATGAAACGCTGTTTTTACTTATTTATTATAATTTAAGATACTTATGATCAATCGGTTTCAAATACAAAACCACGAAAACTTATATCTTAGAGCAAGGGGTCGGTATTATGTACCTAACAGTAGTAATTTTACAGACAATTTGTATTACCTTTAAAACTGCACGTGTTTTAAGAATGAAATTGGTTGGACTGTTGATCTATCATCTATCGAATCAAGAAATTTCAATTTGTAAGGCGATCGAGTTTCAGCTGCACCAGACATAGCTTCAGTTAGTCGAGTTTAATCCCAAGTTTAATTTGTAAATTAGACAAGTTGTGACTAAAAATATTGCATATTTGATATGCCAAATTCTAAATAAACGTTTTGGGTTTAACTCCTAGATAAGTTTGGTTTAGTTTGAATTTCGCGCAAAGCTACACGAGGGCTATCTCCGCTGGCCTTCCTTAATTAAGCAGTGAAAGACTAGAGGGAAGGCAGCTAGTCAACACCACCCACAGTTAACTCTTGGGCTACTCTTTTACTAACGAATAGTGAGTAGGCTCAACCGTCACAATATAATGCTCCCATGGCTAAAAGGGTAAGTCAAGTGCCCTAATCACCTAAAATTCTGAGATAAATTATTTGTCAAAGAGACTGAGAATACGATTATAAAGTTGTTCATCTTGCACAATGATCAATTTATAAATGGAAGAGACTTTGTAATTTAAGTAGAATAGTCTTACAGTAAGGTAAGTCAGTTGCAAAGTAATTATCTACCCGCAACTTAGTCTTCAGAGTGCAGTAATCTAGTTACAATTTAACAAAATAAGAAAGTCTATCCTCAGCAAAATTGTAAAAGATAGGTGATTTAGTTGCCAAAAATTGCTCATCTTTAGTAACATATTCAGAGTAAGATTATTTATTTGTAGAATAAAGTGATGAAGGAAATGAAGTAACTCAATACATTTTTGAATAAAGTGATCCAGAAAAGGGAGAGATACTTTTAGAATTACATGGTTATAAGAGAATAGTGTGTTTTCTCAAAATAATAACGTTACATCAGTACAAGAGTTATAATTTTAGTATTGTTTGTTTGAAGTTAAGCACAAAGCTACACAATGGGATATCTGTGCACTGCCCACCACGGGTATCGAAACCCAGTTTGTAGCATTGTAAGTTCACAGACTTACCGCTGTGAAACTGGGGGGGGCTAATTTTAGTAAAACGAAAAGCTTGATTTATAGGATTTCAAGCATTACTTTATTTAGGTTTTAGGAGAAACAAAAACGTGAACAATTAATTCTGAACACATTCTACAATTACATCACGAAAAAGACAAAACTCTAAAACTAAATACAAAGACCTATTTTGAGAAAGTTGAAAACAGTGTACACTCAAATCACGATTATGATGGCATTAGTTTGTGTTATGAAGAACTGAAGAGTGTTGTATGGATTTTACAACAAAATGACCATCAATTACATTTCCAAATAATAACTGATTATTGTCCTTTTTTTGAGGTAATTTTATTAACTATACTAGAATAAGGCAATTTACAAATACGCATATATAATTCAATCGTATACAATGTTCGTGAAAGCGATTTTCAATTTAGGTTTTATGTTTAGTTCGAAAAACTAAATGTTTAGTTTTTTTGTTTAAACTTGAACGTCAAACTTCAGGGCCTGGTGGTTGGGGCGCTCGAATCGCAATCTGAAAGTCACGGGTTCGAATACCTGCCCAACCAAACATACTCGTTCTTTCAGCCGTAATGGCGTTATAACGTGACGGTCAAGCCCACTATTCGTTGGTGGTGTTGACTAGCTGTCTTCTCTCTAGCCTATCACTGTTAAACTAAGGTGGGCTACCGCAGATAGTCCTCGTGTAGATTTTTATGCGAAATTCAAACGAAACGTCAAACCGCATTTTACTTCCAGTCTTAATATATTCACAGTGTTTTCATGGCAATTTTGCATACACGCGTTTCTACCCTTAAAAGCACACATGTTGCTTGTACCGGAAGATCAGGGCACATAGCAACCAATGTTATGTAATACTATACAGAGGTGTAATCGATAAATTGTGCATTCTAAAAAAGATGCAATCACATCTTTCCAGTGTTTAATTGTGATAGTATTATTATTAATATATCGATTTCGTCACTTATGGAAGAGAATCTGTAAGATTTAAAATCGTATTACCAACGAGAAGACTATACGGATGTTTGAGGAGTAGAGATTAATTTCAAACTACACTCTTAAAGAATGTGTATGGCTACATTGGTCATTAGTGTTTTCTAAAGATTTCTTAGAGAAAAGTAAAATATTTAAAGAACAGGGGGAATATATTAATAAAATTACCAATTTTTGGTCTTGAGAAAAATGCACTTTTTTACATTTTTTTTTCCTAACACGCGTATATATGATCAAATTTAGACAGCTTTACGAGTTATCTATCGGATAATACTAAATATTTTGGTTACAACGGATGAAATATGTACATACTTTATTACGAATATCTCGTTTATTAATTACGTCTAAACGAAAAATCCCGAACGTGATATTAGGATTATAATGGAATTTAAATAAGATCACTGTTGATCACAATTATGTTTGGAAAATTAAAGCAAATAAACTTAGATAAAGTTAGAGCTTAATTCTATATAATACCATGCTAACTGTCATATATTACTATGCACGTGAAAATTATCAGAGAGACAAAATGTCAAAAAGTCAGCCGGAAATACTTCATATGTAATGACTGCATCGTATAGATCCATAAAAGATGGGCAACATTCCAGTTTATATTAAGATAATGAATTTGTATTGTACCAGCCAAACTAGTGTGAAGGAGTTAGCCAAACACAGTTCGAGGTAAGCAGCTGCTTCAAACTGAATTAGATGACATTCCTGACAAGGTAACAAACCTTCTTGAAATGTTTAATTTTGCTCTGCTAAAAAGAAAATTCGAAGCTTCATATACGTTGTTGGAAAATATTTTATTGAATGTTATTATAAAAAATTAGCGAAGCCAAATGAACTTGTCTGCCCTGCTGTGTGAAACGTTTTAAAAATGATTCAATGTAAAGCGAAAAAACAATAAAATTATTACATTCGCTGATTCGTTTGTTTGTTTTGAAATTAATGGGTCATCTGTGCTCTGCCCACTACGGGTTTCTAACGTTGTAAGTCTGCAGACAATGTCGCTGTCACTGAATCATATTGGTTGTATTACAAAAGCATGTAATCGTCACAAAGCAATAAAAATATCATCTTTTAAAATGTAAAAAAAGTGCTAAGTTAGAGGATAAAAGCTAAGCTTAAAACACATTTGGTTTTTATTTATAGTCACAAGAAAAACTAATAAAATTTTAATAATGATAATAAAACAATCATCGTAAAAACACATTGTAAACACAATTATTTGGCAGATTGTGATATTAAAAGCAGCCTATAAATAAACAATAAACAAGGTTATAGTATCTATCGGGCAAAATGATTGTCAAGAATAAAATGAAAAAAACTTTGTAAATGCCAAGCCTAAAACCCAAACGGTAAAAAGCTTTAACGTAATTAATTATTACCCACAAAATCGATCTGTCAAGCTGCTATGATAAAAGCTGCTTCCATATGTTACCACATTTAAAAATTATAAAATTACATGCTTCATTTATGTAACATCCCAAAAATCATATCACTGAAAAATAGCCAATGCATGCATTTAATTAATGATGATCATACGTTAATATGAAAGCGAGCGATCCCTTGTACTAGTTGAATAAACTGACAGTTATTGCTATATGATCAAACGCACACTTTACTGGTCTTTGTTTTTAACAGACACAATAATTTTGGTTTTATTTTCCTTTTTCTTCCTGCTTTTTACGAACAGATTTGCATTTATCTTCAATTTCGTCTGAAAAAAAAAAAACAGCATTAAATTTATGTAAAAGTGGATAGTCTTTTTTTCTAACATTTCAAAACTTTGTAACAACTTAACAACTTCCTAGTTTAGAAACACAACAGTTCTACTTTGTGTATAAGTTGATTTAATGTATTATTATCTTATATTGTTAAATTATTTTTTATTCATGTATCTTGACCAAAATCTCTGTTTTACAGTTTGATGGAGACAATGCATACAAGTTGTCTACTCTTTTGAAATAAAAGTTTCACTGATAGTTTTCAGTATTTAAATGTCTGGTCTGAATATTTACACAATAAGTTCCACAATACGTATAACCATAAACAATTTCTTTGATCATTTTACAAAAAAAAATGCAATAATGGTTACTTTTGTTAGATATCAACCATTTGTTATTTGAATCATAGTTTTCCCGTGAAGTCTGAGGTAGAATACATGCACACAAAAGTTTCTATCAGAAGGATTTAGTTGCTAAAGCCAAACTATTCTGTTTTCACTACATCTTAATTTCACCCAGTTTTGGTTTAAATTTTGATCAACCGATAGTTTAAGTCATGAAGCATTTCTGATGTTTGGAATCAAAGATCATTTTAGTAAGGGTTCAGACCATGATAAATAACTATATAATTGAGATACCCTTTTTTTTCAATAATGCGCAGAGAACATTAAAATGGCAGGTGCTCATTAACAAAAATTGTCACTTTTCAAGCCTCTTAAGACAAGCCTTTTTTTCGGATGGCGGGGTTGATGCTGAAGGAGACTATGGGAACTGTGGGTTGCCTCTGGTACACATAGTGTAAAAATCCATAAGAAGCAAGCAGATCTTCTTTTATTCCTACTTAATTGGCCTTATAAACATTTTTATGATCCAAACTAAATAGTGAATTTTTGCGTATTGACACTGCATTTTTTTACTGTAAAGTCTTACAAGATCCAGCGTTCCATTAATTTTAAAGCTAAAATAATTTTTTCTTTCCTAATATCTCGCAGCAAAAAAAGAGTGTGGAATCAGTTGTAAATTTTCATTGTTGTTGACAATTTTTATGACAGAGAAAAGGAGCACTCTTGAGGCTTAGTTGCAAGAAGGCAAGGGGCTTGAGCTCATCTAGCCCCCACACCCATGCGCACGCCACAGCCTTTTAAACCCACAGGAAAAACCTGATAATGTATAATTTTTAAATGATAATGAAAAGGATCATCAAATTTTAGAAATCGAATGAACTTCCTGGTAAGTTAAGAGTTTAAAGTTTAAAAGGCTTGAGAAATAATTACACATTTAAAATAATGCAGTTAGTCCGTAAACAACGTGAAACTAATCTAAAGAACTACAGTATCGTGTGTAAATGAACTTCTATTTTTGGTTTATGATTTACACTTGTGAATCGATTTGAATTAGTTTCACTCCAACTACTTATATATTGCCTTACTTGTGATGTTTTTTCGTATTTTTTGATGTATTGTATAATGAATTTTTCATAACTTTTAGAAATTTTTTCTGAGCGAAAACATTTAGCAAAGTTGTAGTAAATACTACAACTCTTGTCACCTAGAGCATGTCGTATTATTTATTGAACATTTCTTC